TGTTATTTTATGTGGATAAAAATGTTACAATGGACTTAAAACTATAAAAAATCATCTAAGCATGCTTGAAAACATACATATCGACACCAAGATCACCCAGATTGACCAACTACATCAATTTCTATAAGAAAAATCAACTTTTGAAGGTCAATATGGCGGTCACCTTGAAAAATGGTCGCCATCTTGAATTTTTAAATGGCCAATCAGGCAGACTTGACTAGTAACCATTAGAGAATTACCATGCCAAATTTGGTGCTTGTACCACCATTTTCATGATTCTCTTGAAAAATTGCATTTAGCTGCCCCACTAATGTCACCACTCCCATCTCAACATGACACTCGTATACTGAAATATTGTATTTCATACTACATATGACTTTACAAAAAGAAATGTCCACGTCTGGTTAAATAACTCTTGTAGATATAATACCAGTTGAATAAACGAAACTAAAAAACTGGAGATTGTAATTACAGTGAAGCCTTGACAACTCCATTATGAAGTTAGGGATTAGATGACGCCAAATACAATCACCTTAATGCACTTTAAGAGAGAGGAGTCACCGTGCCAGGGCTTAATATTATCCTGGACCCTAGAGGTTGATGACGTATTCAGTGTCGGGCAGAAATACATCGATGTACACAGCACATGATCCCAATCAACTCCAGTATAGGTGTTAATAATGTAGAGGTGACCAGGTGTGTTGCACGTTGGTAGTGTTGGATGGTGATGCAGGAAAGAGGTAGTGTGTTGAGGGTGGTGTGTGGTTATGACTCACTCCCACAACCCCCCCACACCACTCACACATCCTCACAACTGTACCACAAAGCCCCCACACTACTCATACAGCATCCTCACAACACTACCACAACCCCCCCACACCACTCACACATCCTCACAACTGTACCACAAAGCCCCCACACTACTCATACAGCATCCTCACAACACTACCACAACCCCCCCACACCACACACATCCTCACAACTGTACCACAAAGCCCCCACACTACTCATACAGCATCCTCACAACACTACCAACCCCCCCACACCACCACACATCCTCACAACACTACCACAACCCCCCCACACCACCTACACATCCTCACAATCACACAAAGCACATCACTACCTCCTCCTAACACTACCACTGCACAACCCCCCCACACCACTCACACATCCTCACAACTGAACCACAAAGCCCCCACACTACTCATACCGCATCCTCCTAACACTACCACTGCACAACCCCCCCACACCACTCACACATCCTCACAACTGAACCACAAAGTCCCCACACTACTCATACCGCATCCTCCTAACACTACCACTGCACAACCCCCCCACACCACTCACACATCCTCACAACATGACACCACCCAACACTACCACTGCACAACCCCCCACACCACTTACAACTCACACTACCACAACCCCCCACACCACTCACACATCCTCACAACTGAACCACAAAGCCCCCACACTACTCATACAGCATCCTCATAACACTACCACAACCCCCCCTACACCACTCACACATCCTCACACTACCACAACCTCCCACACCACTTACACATCCTCACAACTATACCACAAAGCCCCCACACTACTCATACAGCATCCTCACAACACTACCACAACCCCCCCACACCACTCACACATCCTCACAACTGTACCACAAAGCCCCCACACTACTCATACAGCATCCTCACAACACTACCACAACCCCCCCACACCACTCACACATCCTCACAACTGTACCACAAAGCCCCCACACTACTCATACAGCATCCTCACAACACTACCACAACCCCACACCACACACATCCTCACAACTGAACACAAAGTCCCCACACTACTCATACCGCATCCTAACACTACCACTGCACAACCCCCCCACACCACACACACATCCTCACAACTGTACCACAAAGCCCCCACACTACTCATACAGCATCCTCATAACACTACCACAACCCCCCACACCACTCACACATCCTCACAACACTACCACAACCTCCCACACCACTTACACATCCTCACAACACTACCACAACCCCCACACCACTCACACATCCTCACAACACTACCACAACCCCCCACACCACATACACATCCTCACAACACTACCACAACCCCCCACACCACTCACACATCCTCACAACACTACCATAATAAAATTAATTATTTCTAGTGTGGTCGACTTCCTACACAAAGACAGGCTATAAATAGCCGTCTTATCTCAACCTCCTTCCTTCCCCCTACATCCCTCTGTTCTCAGAGAGGTCTTGGTAAATAACTTTTGTTTGTTTATTTTCATTGTTTGTCTAATTTATCATGTTGTATCAAAGTAATATTACTAAAAGTTTTAGGCAGCTACCAAATGGGGAGATTCTACTGCCTGGGAAGATATTGGAAGCACAATGTACAGTATTGTCTAATGGTAGACCCTACTTCCATATGGCATCACGAAAATTGTGACCAAGTCTTAGGTTGCTGATTTATCTTTCTGTCTCATTTACACACAATTGCAGAGTTTCAATTGTTTCTCTTCCTTTGACAACACAACATACATACAATATAATGTTTCTCACCTTTGATCTTTTTTCCATTTATTTATTGTTGGTTATTTAAAATAATGCCAATTCACTTCAAGTATTGGCATCAAATTATACCGGCTGGTGTACACTAGTGACTCACTTAAGCGGCAGTTATTTAATTGGAACTAATGTTGGTGTGAGTAAAATATTTCCATTTACTTAAAATAGATTTGCCGATTTATTTGTTTATTTATTTATTTATAATATACTGTAATACATTAAACACACTGCAAGTATTTTCTTTAATTTATATACTTGTTTCGCGAAAAAGGGAGGCTAGCATTATAACTGGTAGGTGATCATTAAGGACCAAACTCCGAATCCATGACTCCATGAAGTGACTTCTGTTCATCATTTATATCCTAAATTTACCACTGTCGGTAGTTTCAAGAATTAACGCAGTCATTTACTGAATATTCTTTGTAAAAAAATTAATTTTAAATTAATTATTTATAGGAGATAAGTATTATGATCAGTAAATATACAGATATGCATTACTGACCACCTCCGAACACAAGGACGGCTAAAAATAGCTACAGGCGGTCACAGTCAAGGTCACTTTCCCTGGTAGGACTTTGTGAGTGGTTTACCATGTTTCCATCACCACTCTTGACACGCAATATTTAAGAGGTAAGAATTTTATACTTGGTGATTAAGACGACCCCCTAACTTTGGGCAGATTTTTTTAATGTTCAAATTCCGTCTTATAAGCCGAGATATACGTAATTGGAAAATATAAATCTCTTAGTATAACAGACAAGCTGAAAATTATTAAAAGACTTGAGCTTTAATTATTGGAGGATTCACATAAAATATTTTGTTTTTAGGAAGACATTTCTAATTTATGCAATGTTAAGTAATAAAAGATTCCTACATCAAAATGTTTTGGATTTTGAACTTCCTTTTCCCTCCTTTAGTTAGAAATAATGTAGTTCTTCTGTGCAGCACAGTAGAACGTTGATATAACACGAAATACATTCCAAGAGAGGTTGCTTTAAATCGACGTGTTGGTTCAATGGAATAAGTTAGTTTGGTACTTGAGAGAAACACAAAGTGCTAAAAATATGAGAAAAATAAATGGTGTAATGATATATATGCAACAAGCACTCCCTGCAGTTGAGTTGAGAGCTGGTTGGTACTGTTACTGCGTGGTACTGCATTGTACTGCCTGCTGCCTCGCGTCCCTCCCCCTGCCCCGACCGAGAGTCTACCCAGATGCACCTCAGCCCATCTCCTAGAATAAACAAACGCTCATAAATCAACACAGCTAAAATTACGGGACGCGAAATGGTCTGTTTACTAGCGATCAGCTGATGTGAGAGGGTGGTCGAGCTGGCGGCGCACACCACCTGCCTCTCGTCTGCCTCATTCCATCTCTACCACTCATCATGCACTTTCACTTTTCTCTCAACTTAGTTTTTCATTACTGAATGCTATCAAATAGAGATTTTCACCCACCTTTAGTTAGGGAAGTCATCCTCTGAAGAAGCAGAGCCCAACTCGACCACTGTCTAGTGGTGTGGCTGTGGAGGAACCTGACATGTGGAAAGCATTGGATGAGGCCGTGTCTGCTTCTTCCATCTCACCATACATAGTAGATTTCAGGTGGAATTTACCCTTGGCAACATTTGGTGAAGCATAGGTTGCTCTAATTTTCTTCTTGTTGAGCTTGATAGTCCGGACAGAGCTCTCCGACAGTCCAAATTGGCGCCCCACTCCTGAAGCACCACTTCCACGCTGTAGTGCTTCCAGCACCTTGTTTTTCTGCTCCAGTGTAATTGCTTGCCTTGATTTTTTGTACTTTGTGGGAAGTTAATGATGTAGTGGCTGGCTTCTTGGAGAAAGTGGCGATGGTTGATGCATGTGGTAGAAGGAGATAGTGTCACACATTTTGTCCGTTCACTAAAGCGTCAGTGCGAGAACTGAGGATGGGTGAGGGTGTGGGAGGATGGCGGGCAGCCTTGTAGTGTACCCAGAGAGGCGTCTGGCGAGAAAAATTAGGCGGGAAACTTAAAATTGTGTGAATTTCCGTATGACTCGCCATATTTGACTCATGTAAAATAGAAAAGATTCGCTTTAAATTGATACGGTGTCCTCAATTGTGGGTGTCGCTTTAAATCAATAATCTTAAATTGATTTGCATTAAATCGACGTTCTACTGTACAGTGTATCCAGCTGGATTAACAAATTAAACATAGCTATTGGAGGGTCATGTCTAGGGACCCCCTAGTTACTAAGGGGTCCCTGGTAAGGTGTCCTATACCTGTACAGTACAGTATTACATGTCACCTGACTCTGGACTTTACTAGATAAAGGGAGGGATTTAAGCATCAGTCCTCCAACTTTTAAGAAATTTGTGACATGTTTCTAATGTCTTAATGTTGATGAAAGTTCTTTTTTTTTCAGGTAAAATCTAAGTCACTCAAGATGCAGCAACAGATTTTGGTCCTGGTGTTTGCAGGATGGGTGTTGGTTGTCAATATCCTGCAAGTAAAAGCTAGTCCTTCCCAGAGAGCAAATAATACAAATGATACTGAAGGGGCCTTACAGAATGACTTGAAAACTTCAGGTGTTGCTGCTCATCAAGAAGATCTATCTAAGTTAAGTGATTCTCCTCAAGCAAGGCAAGAAAATCAAACTGAGAGTGTCATATCAGATTCCCATGAAGGGCTAGTGGACAATATTACAAATGGTAGTAAAATTGAAGGTGGTGTTGACCAAGGAAAATTAGATTCTTCAACAGAAACATTTCATTTATATGAGAGTATGAAAAATTTTAATACGTCAAATGTTACATTGGGAGGTGAAGACAGTTACAGTGCAAGAAATTATGTGAATGTTAGTATAAAATTGAATGTATCCACAGAAGCCAATCAAAATAATCCAATCACTATTCCTAGTGTTGAGCATTCTGATTTACTGAAAGAAGAAACAAATGGAAGTGTGAACACAAGAATCAAAGATAATGAGAATTTAATTCCTGATAAACCTTTTAAATCGTCTGGCTCCTCATTTCTATCATCACCAGGAGCAGCACCATTACCAGATGTAACACCTTTGTCAAAAGGCATTCCATCACAAGAGAAAATAACAACATTACCACAGGTACCACCTTCATCACTGGGAGGTCTGCCAGGTGGACAAAAGCCAGCCAGAACTCCAGAGAAACTTAATTCCACGAAGACATCAATTGTGTCAAATGTAACTGATGTTATCTCATCATCTACAGAAAGTGTATATATCCAAAAACCAGAAGACAACCTCCCATATCCAGGGGAAGATGATGTTGCTGTCACTGATTCTCAGTCTTCAGAGGTGAAGAGTAACCTGGATTCTCCAAACGAAGAAGGTGAGACAAAATATGAATGGTAAATTAGATATTTTCAGTTATAAAGTAATGTTTTCATACTATTCATAGCAATTAACTCTACCTTGGTGACATTATCACCAAATGATTATGGATTTATCAGAAGCTTTCCCATGTAGCTTCCTCACCCTTCTGTTGGCTATGTTGATACTGTAGCTACTTACTATGGTTACATCCTCATAAAGTGATTTGCAAGATACTCTCCTACAGTGATGGACTGGCCATTGGGAGTTTGGGCATTTTTTCAATGGGCTGGTCTAGCTTAGATACCCTAAGTAAACAGAGACTGGACAATTTCCAATACAGTATTGTGGTGTCTCAGTATTTAGTAAGGTGCATCTGATTATTTTATAGCAGTAGATCCTTTAGGGAATATTGGTACTGTACTTTATATAAATAAAGTAATAAAGCACGGACTTGAAATTAGACTCGCATTTTTAATAAATTTTTTCTGATTATTTGAGTATTTTCCATTACAGTATAGTCTGGATTTACGCGGTTTTGGTTAGCGCGTTTGGTCATTTACGCGGTGCCTTGCCAGAATTGAGAGGCTTTAATTACGTGGTAAATTTGGTCATTTACGCGGAGAGCAGCTGGCGGTCCAGCCGCGCGCCATTTTGGATTCAAACCTCCCGCCATCCCCGCCATGCCTGACTACAAGCGGGTGGAAGCGGCGCGGGGAGGGGTGCGCAGTATGTCGCTGTTGCGTTATCGGTGACGTCATATGACGTATCGGACTGTGATTGGGCCACGCATCCTTACCTCCCTCCCCCACTAGCTGTGATTGGTTTAATGTAATATGACGTGCCCTGCCACGGGAGGGAAGAAGCCGCTGACCTAGCAGGGCCTGCCTCATTGTTCTCAGTCCGCGTATACAGTTCTCTCTTGTGCCAGCTATTCCCCTCACAACTCACAATGGCTTCCTCGGGACCCCCACCACCAGAGAAAAACATTGAATTACCTGGACCAAGCCATGATTGTGTGAAGGAAATCATCGAGTTGCAGGAGAAAATAAAGCTCATCCTTAACAACGACCCAAACAAGCATTGGTATGAAGCGTCTAATAACCATCTGACGAAAGTTATGGAGCCATATATCCAGATCTATCTCGACAACATCAATGCTAGTTGTCAACGTAGTATTGAGGACTTCCTCGCCCGCAACCCACCACAACCACAGCCAGCCCAAGTCAGTGATAGTGAGGATATGGACTTTGAGGGGTTTGTCTGGGAGGCCTTGCAAACCTCTGCGAGTAGTGAAAGTGATTCACCGGAGGGCAAGTAATCTGCCCTCTGCCTTGGAACCAGCCGCCATCCACCTGTGCCAACCCAGCATTTCTACTAGCGTAAGTGTTAAAAAACCTAATTATTATTAATATTTCTCTTAATTATTAATTGTGTGTGCATACCATCATAAAATTAAGATGTTATTTTTACTACAAGGTATGTATTGTGACGGAAAAAGTGGAATTTTGAGGTCGGCCCAGTCTCTATTTCAATTAATCCCATATGTTCTGTTATTTCATTTACTCGTTTCTGGTTTTATGCGGACCTCCACGGGTTCAATTGATCGCGTAAATCCAGACTATATTGTATTCATTTTTTACATTAATTTTACTACAGGGTCTTATTTTCTTCAGTTTCTTATCTAGAACCATCGTCACAGATGTAAACACTCAACGAAAACAATGCCGTCGCGTCTCCACTTGTGTGTTTTAATATTCTACATAGTATTACAGTTGGCTCTCACATTTGGACTCTTATTTAGACTGTAAAAACCTCGCAAAATTCAAATTGTCCAAATTTAAATACAACTTCCTATGGAGAAAATTAATTTGAGTCTGGTATTTTCGATGTTCGGCTAAATTTTGCCATATTTACCCTACCTTTTTGGCGAATTACTACCTGTAATAAAGCAACATCCTAATAAACCAACGAAAATAACACAGATAATGTTAAAAAAAACATTAAAACAACACAGAAAAAGTTTTTATGCTCTACAGCTTCAGCTAGAGTTGAACCTGATGACTTGGCAACTTCGTCATCCGAGTAAAAACACACACGACAACATTGACTATCCTTATGTTTTCAACTTTACCACCACTGGTGGGTAGATTTTTTTTTTAAATTCAGAAATATTAATTAAAAGATATATGAACAGTAAATAAGTGTTGCTTTCATATTCTTATGGAGAGTAATGGCGATATGTTTTCACATGTGCTCACTTACATATGCGATCTCACTTTTTTTCTTTACCATTAATGTTTAGCTACTTTTATTTTTCCATTTATTTCATTAAATAACATAACTTAAAACAACCATATTAATTTTTTTACATTACAGTCAGTTCTGCTATAACGCGATAGTTGTGTTCTTGTAAAATATCGTGTTATAGAAAATCGCGTAATTGAAATAACAGGGCTTATGGAGAAAATAGGGTTAGGTGCAGATTACTCGAAATAAAAAAAAAATTCGTTGTTAGCCTAACACGAAGGATAGCACAGTCTAAATAAATGTTACATTCATATCTAATAATGAAATCATACAGTAAATGTTACACTTTACCTTGAAAAAATATGAATATAACTTGATGGGAAGGGCGATTTTGAGGTTGATAACATCGAGCTTCTCTTCAAGTGTTATATCCTTTCTTTTACGATCATCACCGGGAATTCGATCACCAGAACGCTTCTTGGAGATATTCTTCTTTACCATATTCACAGTTAATACCACAAAATTGGAGAAATAGTACGCAAAAATTGCGTTACAGCAAACAAGCGTTCGCGTTATACAAATATCGTTCCTCTATTCATAAATTGCGTTAGAGCAAATTCGCGTGACAGTGACCCCTCGTTTAACGAACGCCTCGGTTAACGAAATTTCGGTTAACGAACTGCCTTCCATAAGGATCTTCAATTCGGTTAACGAACAAAAATTCGGTTAACGAATTTCTTACGAACCGACCTCAACATGTTTTCGCTTGCACTGACCGGGCAACCAGCTTTAGTATCAGTCCGCCAATACATTAATCGGTTCTAGGGCATAAATTCCTTACTATTTTAGTAAATATCAAGAAGTTTATACTATTCAATAATTTTAAAAGTTTAATATTCAATTTTTTAGTCATTTTAGCAATTATTGAACATAATTGAAGGTAAAGTGACTAGTTTAATGCGCGGCATCCAGCCTCTTAACACAGCAAACAGGCGTTAGTCTCTCTCTGTTTTCACTGGAGGTAACATCTTGCTTGAGACTCTCTTCAACTAAACGCTTTTTTTCTGTGTTTCCAAGCAAATTATTGGTCATTTTGAAATATATTTTACATATTGACAATATATAATGCAGTGCAGTGTTGATTTAAAGAAAATAATCTTGAATTACACCAAGAGAGCTAAAATTTTATGGGTGAAATGGCACCATGGGGTGACTTCTCTTCCACCCCAATGCCTTCTCTTCTTCCTTCTCCTCCACCCCCATTCTAAATCCCATCATCATCATCATCATCATCCAGGAGCCTTCTACATACACACCTGAAAGTAAGTGAACTTTTCTACCATTTTTGTTGAATTTAGGAAATTTTCGGTGAGCTGGAACCAATTACCCAAAAACCCATTGAAACAATGGTTTCGGTTAACGAACTTTTCGGTTAACGAACGACCTTCTGGAACGGATTGAGTTCGTTAACCGAGGGGTCACTGTATAGCAGAACTCGCTGTATGTAATTTTACTACAGCTACAACCAGGGTCTTATTTTCTATAGTTTTATATGTAGAACGAATCAGTCACTGCTTTTGTAAACATTAACGAAAACAATGCATCTCGTCGCCTCGTGTGTTTTAATATTCTACGTACCAGTATTATTAATGAATTGTATTGTTCATTTTGCACACAAAACATTAATTCAGTCAAAAAGACATTTAGTAATAAACAATAATGAATCTTTTGTACACTAGAGAAATGACGCTCTAACCCGTCGAAATTCAAATTTATGCTTTCGAAATTTGAAATTGCGTAGTGTTTTTTTTGTGTCCAAATAAAAAACGTTGAATTAAAAACTTGCGAAATTTGAGTACCTACTGTAATGATTTGTATTGTTCATTTTGCATATATAACATTAATTCAATCAAATACATATTCAGTAATAAACAATAATGATTTTTTTGTACATAGTACTGTATTCATAATAAGATAATGACACTGTTTCCTTGAGTGCGCACATATACTTTGGCATTCCCAATCCATCTCGCTTTTTTCTTTGCCATAAGTGGCTTTACTGTACAGTATAGTTTGGATTTACGCGGTCAATTGAACCCGTGGAGGTCCGCGTAAAACCAGAAGCGCGTTAATGAAATAACAGAACATATGGGATTAATTGAAATAGAAACTGGGCCGACCCCCAAACTCCACTTTTTCCGACACAATACGTACGTTGTAGTAAAAATAGTATCTTAACTTTATGATGGTATGCACACACATAATATAGAAGATAAATATCAATAAGAGAATAATATACTGATCCAGGTAAAAGAAAAATCAAGGTTTAACACTTACGTTAGTAGAAGAGATGGGTCGGCATACATAGTTGGGGGCTAGTTCCGAAGCAGAGGGCAGATTAGTGGCCCTCAGGTGAATCACTGTCACTATCCACCACAGATGTTAGGGCCTCCCTGACAAATCCCTCAGTCACATCACTGTCACTTTCACTGACTTGGGCTGGCTGTGGTGATGTTACGCTGACGGCTAGTGTTGATGTATTCGTGATACATCTTGATGTACGGCCCCATAGTTTGCAACAGATGGTTATTGAAAACTTCATACCGGTGATTGTCAGGGTCGTTGGAAAGGATGAGCTTGAGTTTCTCTGCAAACTCGATGGCATCCTTTACATTACCATGCGTTCACTTCTGTTCTTCTCAGGCTGCCGCACCACCTGCCTCCTCACTAATGACATCGTCTTCCAACATCTCGTCGGCAGTCACCTCA